AAAAAAAAAAAAAAAAAAAAATGATTCCACTAGTGAATCTCCCAACATCTACAGCTTCTCTTGTAAGGGAAAATAGAGTTGGAAACCATTTAAAATTGTCTTTACAGGGCGTCTGGGTGGCTCAGTCGGTTAAGCATCTGACTTCAGCTCATGTCATGACCCCGCAGTTTATGACTTTGAGCCCCGCGTCGGGCTCTGTGTTGACAGCTCTGAGCCCGGAGCCTGCTTCAGTTTCTGTGTCTCTTTCTCTCTCTGCCCCTCCCCTACTTGCACTCTCTCTCTCTCTGTCTCCCAAAAATAAACATTAAAAAAATTGTTTTAAATTAAAAAAATAAAATTGTCTTTACAACTATTATTCGAACTTGGGAATTAAATGAAGTAGGTTACTTCTGGACATTTTCATTTTTTTCTTAAGTGTTTTCTGCACATACACATAGTTCTTATGCCTCTGAGAATATAAAACTTAAACGTCTTTTTTTTTGTCCTGACAGTTTAGTGATGGGTATCAAATATTAGTAACTGAATGGATAACCATTATGATAACCACAGTCTACTCAGCTAATACTCTGAGAAGCATTACTAGGGAAATAGAAATTTAAAAAAAACAAAGAGAAGAATGACCATGGTTAAAGATCTCACATGAAGCTAAGAAAACTTCAGCTAACTGAATCGTTAAGCCTGATAGATTACTCGGATAATTTTTCACATGGAGAACACTTAATTGTTTAGAAAGTATTTTTTTATAGGCTCCACACACAGAGATCATTAGACCTTTAAAAAATCTCACAAAAAGTTTGAGGAAAATGAAGCTCAGACAGGGTAAATAGGTTATCCAAATCCAAAGAGCAGGGAGAGAGAGAGAGAGAGTGTGTGTGTGTGTGTTTATGCAGGTAGATCCAATCCTTGAACTTTGGGCCTTTCACTTCTAAGCTCATGGACTTTTCCATTAATTACACCACAAGCTTTTCTGAAGCCAAGACCCATGCTATGCCCAAGCTGCTTTTAAATAGAAAAAAAAAAAAGTAAAAAGAAACTTGTACAGAATTCTCTGTAGGCCAACAGTTTCTGTTTATGTACTTAAGAGTTGCTCAAATTATGAGACCTAAAATATTACACAATGATATTCTCTTGTGCAGTAAACCTGAATGAACAATTATGAGAGCCACTAAAAGCACTTTTTTTAAGAAATATGTATTTATAATTGAGACTAATCAAGAGATAGCAAAACTAATAATATAAATTTAGTGGCAAGTGTAATATTGATATTTTAGAAGTTCATCCTTTATTATAAGATATTAAGTACACATAATTCCATTTAAAAATCTAAATCTGTGTGGATTTATATGTGTTTATATGTTTGTATACTTATATATATTTCATGAATTTTTATACATATATATTAATATTTTTATGTGGAAACCAAACAGCATTATTAGAATGCTCAACCCATTGGGTGAAAGTTTATAGGAAAACAGGATTTGGGTAGTGTCAATTTGTCCCCATGTATGATTACAAAAATAAAAAGATATCTTTACAATGGACAAATATGGTTGATACAACCTTACTAAGTTGATCAAATTGAACAACACCAATTAACAGGGCAAACTGACATCATATGCTTATTGATATGTTGTAATGTGGAAGACACAGCGTCACCAAAAATGTTTAATCTGAATATAAAAACAAGAAAACAATAGAAAAATAAAGTCAGATTAAGGTTCATCCCATAAAACGAGCATTTACTCCTCAAAAAAATGTCAATGTTATTAAAGACAAAAAAAAAAAAAAAAGAAAGAAAAGAAAAGAAAATGAAAGAACTCTTCAATTTCATTGAAAACTAAATAGAAACAATAACAAAATGCTTGTGTGGTCCTTGTTTGATTCCTGGATCAAAACTAGGGCAGTTATAAAGGACGTTATTAGGAAAATCAGGGAAATTTAGATATGAATTATATATAACATTATTATATTAATGTTAAATTTCTTGTGTGTGATCATGATATTGCACTTATTTGGAGATTGTCTTATTCATAGGAGATCCATGTTGAAGTATTTAGAAGTGAAGTATCATGATTTCTGCAACCTACTTTGAAATGATTCAGAAAAAAAACATTGAGAGAGTGAAAGCAAGTAAGAAAAATGTTAACAGTTGGTAAACTTGGGTGAAACATATATAAAGGAGCATTGTACTACTTTTCCACTTTCCTGTAGGTTTAAAACTTTTGAAAATATAAGATGGGAAAAATTAAACCAAATTAAACTATTCTTCAAATTCTTTATTTCGTATGTCTGTTTCAGCAATATTGCGATACAGGGGTATCATACATACACTCACCCTTTTTATAGATTTAAAATATTAAATGTTGAATGAATGTTACAAATTATAATCTGAATTATCACAAGGCACTTAAATAGGAAATCAAAAGACTTAAGAATTGTGTTAAAATTTCAGTACAAGCATAAGAATAAAGGATATTGGTCATGTTAATATTCAGGCTGTTTGCCCCATCTAAATTTCTCTGCTCCCCTCCCACTTAAAATCTAAAAAAAAAAAAATCATCATAAATTGGAAGTACAGAATTCTTAGAAAATAACTGGATGATGAGTTGTAGGATTCTCCTTACAGGTACAATCTACTCTTTAGCAACCTGTAAGCCATTGAAAAAGTAACTCCATAGCCAAGAAAGAAAGCCAAAGCACGATTTGGCTGGGGAAGGGGTGTCAAATACGCGACTGTGTGGTAGATCCGTGCTCCAACAAAGAGTCTGAAGTGCAGGATGGCTGTAGAGAGATCTGGACCACTCAAGGAATACAGAAGGCCAATACCAAGAAATGGCACAATGTTTTCAAGGTCATTCAGGTGAGCTCTGTGGGAAATTAGCAAAACACTACTTTCAAAATCAGTAGACATATATTCATTTTTCCATTTCTTTTAAAACTAAATGGATTTTTTAAAATGCGTATTTATTTCATTTTTGTTTAAATTGCCTTGCTCTTTAACCATCTGGCTTTTATTTAACATATCATTATTTTTGTTTCTACTATTAGTGTATCTCAACATATAATAACGAAGACACTTTGCACTTTCAGGAATATCAGTCTTAAAGCTCTTTTATATTACCCCAATAGAAGCAGTGACAGTGATACACACACAATAATGTCTCAGTGAATGCTTTGTTCATGCACTGGGGCCAGAAGGGAAGCCATCTAGTTCAACTCCTAGCCCATGCATCAGTCCCTTAGCAGAATCCCCAGTGAGTATCACCTAGACTTGATTAAGCACTCTGAGGGAAAGGGGATTCTCTGCCTTTGAAAGTAGTATATTCTAAACATCTCTCCTTTCCCTATATACCAAAGCCAAGCCTTCCTTCTTTTCCTTTTGAATGGTACCCTTTATTTCTCCAGCTGCTCTGATTACCTTGCAACTTTCCTTTTATCTTGTATTGAATGTATGTATGGCCTCAAATTCTTTCCAGAACATGGTGAGAGAGGATTAAATAAACACATATGTAAAATGTTTTCTAATCATCACTGATTTCTGTCTCCCCAAATGCAAGTAACTTACTTTAAGCCATTCATTTATCTTAACATTTCCAAGACATATTACTTTATGTTTTTAATTATTTGTCCCACATGTCATCGATATCAATTTTTTCAGTATTGCATACTGAAAGCATACTTCATTTCACTTCATTTGTAGCCCCACTCAGTCCCTGACATTGGATTTACATGTGGAAATTTACATATTTCTATACTAATAGAAATAGCTTTACATGTGGAAGTAATGAAAAGAAAAAAAAAGTCAAGGTTAAAAATGAAATGGGGAGATTCCGGAAAATCTTTATCTGCAAAGTATCTCCAATGGCGAATTGTTACTAGAAACTTTTTGGTGGGGTCGATAAAGTCTCAAAAATTACAACAGGAAACCCGACAGTCTTTCTTGGAGACTCTTTCTCCTGTCTCCACACTGAAAACCCAGTGTCTGATCACCAGGGGGCGCTGTGCACACAGTCGCTGCATCTCTAAGGAAGGATACTGACTCCTTTCAGAACTAAGGTCAATGGTTATTGACAACCTGACTAGAAGATCAGCTTCAATAATGGCTTTCTCCTCTAGAAGTACAATGGGCATGGGGGGTGGGAATGGGAAGGGAAAGTGGGGAAGAATCTAAAATCTCATAATAAAATATCTTTTATTAAGCTTTCACACATGACACTTGGATCCTCCCTTCAAACTTACTAATGCTATTGAGAGTCTAATTGTTATCACTTTCAAGTCCCGGGCAATGTTATGAGTATAGGGTCATGATTAGCATCATGGATGTGATTACCTTCTCTAGAAGGGAGGTACAAAAAGGTAAAGACAAAGTTTTAAACTGCTTACTGTCTTTTTGGTGGTTTTAGTAACTCCACAAAGCACTACTCACCTTTTCTAAAGTTTATTCTTTTTCACCATAACACTTATAATTTTCTGATACAGTTTGAAATTTTCACATTGATTCTCTGTCCTGAAACTATTTTAGATCCACACGCTTGACACAGTCCATTTTTAAGACTGGCTGATTTACTCTTCAGGACTGCTAACTTAACAAATATATAACTAAGTGAAGCAGAGGCTAAAATTTTATTCACGCTATCTAGCACAGACTTCTTAGAAGAAAACATTCTTGTTTAATAAATAACTTGGGATTGAATTTTTGCATAAGAAAAAAATGTGAATTTCATTTTGATACTGGTAGAACAAGAGAATGCATGGGGCAAAAGCAGAGCCTGCAAAATGATGTCCTGCTGGACATCATCCAAAGCAAAGAAGGTACAGTGCAACTTCCCAGGGAGAGGCCGCTGAAGGACACCGTCAGAGCTCTGTCTAACCTACAACTTGAAATGTTTGCGTTGCCGTAACGTGACTCAATTTAGTCAAGTCTATTTTAGCCACATTTCTTAAGTTGGTTTGTCGAGAGTTGAGGAAAGAGCCAAGTTTATGCTAGTCTCACAAAATGTAGACAATGGAAACATGCACAAATGTAGGGACCAGACTGACAGGGAATCTGCAGAAATCTTGGGAGAGGTTTCAGACTCTCACTGGGAATCAAAAATGTGATAATGTAAGTATGATCTAGATCCTAAAGGGACTAGAGGCTCTAACTGATACCTGAATTACAGAAGTAAATTTTTCTTATTTCAGTATCCATTTCATTCTTCATATTCACCAAACAGAAGTGGTGCCATCAGCTATACTCATGATGTTTCCTATCTTAACTATTCGCCACAAAACTAACTATCTGTATGTTTGAGTATGGTTGTGAAAACACTTCATTGTTTCTTTAATTTTATATAAGTTTACTTATTCCTTGAAATGTACCTAGAATTGCACCATGTGTGGATGAGCATTAGAAAATACTAGATGTGGGGCGCTTGGGTAGCTCAGTCAATTAAGCATCCGACTTCAGCTCAGGTCATGACCTTGTGGTTTGTGAGCCTCAGCCCTGTGTTAGGCTCTGTGCTGACAGCTCAGAGCCTGAAGCCTGCTTCAGATTCAGTGTATCCCTCTCTCTGTCCCTTCCCTGCTCATGCTCTGTATCTCTCTCTCTCAAAAATAAATAAACATTAAAAAAAAGAGAAAAGAATACACTAAATGAGAAATTGATATATAACTTTGATGTTTCAGTGTTAGGACACGGTAATTAATAGATCAGTAATAGAATCCCAACAACAACAAAAATTCTGTGGGTGAAAAAGGGACAGCCAAGATGGTGACACAGGAGGCTCCTGAACTCCCTCCCTTCCACAGCCACATCAAATGTAGAGCTCCACACAAAGTAATTACATCTGAAAGAAATCCAGAAAACAACTGCGTGACTCCTAGACATTGAACAATACCCATCTTTAAGGCTGAGACACAGTCTTGCCATAAACCCTACCCCCAGCTTACTGTCACACAACTGAGAGGGAATTTCCAACTCCCAGCTTCTTCCTGAGGAGGAGTGGGTTTGGACTTCACATTTAGTGCCCAAACATTTAAGACTCTCACCCCAGGACAGAACCCCCAAAATATCTTGCTCTGAAAATTACTGAGGATTGCATCTCAAAGACCCACGAGACTTACAACAAATAAAATAGAGAAGTTAAGGGATGTACAAGACTTGTGTGTCAGCACAGAGGGAGCAGGCAAAATTGTCCATCTCCCAGTCTTTCTCTTAAAGGTCTGCAACTACATACTTTGAAATCTACTGCCTAAGCATCAGCATGCTTGTATCTAGGTTCAGTCTTTGATCCTTTGTAGAAACCAGGGAAGCTGGCGGATACTTCCCTGGCCTTCTCTCTCTAGCTTGATCCCAGTCACCACTATCTCCCTGGAAGGAGTTTATACACATGTATGCACTCCAACCTTTATGGCTGCAGTCCTAGGGAGGGGTCCCTGGGTCACCTGGCCCTGATCAGCACTAACAGTCATGAGTTAGTTAGTTAGATTTTATTCCCACAAAACATAGCAAACAAAGAATCAGTTCTCCACAAGCTCAAGCAGTCACTTCGACTATCTGTTCACATGGCTATACACAGGCCCAGCACAGATGGAGTTGACAAAAATGCCCAAACCCCAGTGTCTCCTTAGAAGGGGCATAACTACATACTTTCCCAGCTGTTACTTAAATGTCCAGCTTCCAATTAGCCTATATTTAAATGTTGACTGTGATCCTCCCTTTGGAACACTTGACAAATCTTGACATACCTTGAACTATTGGGAGCCAGTAAAAACAAAGATGGCAGCTTGGACTGTCACGAAGGTCTGAGAGACAACAGGGCTCAGGCTAGGATAATTGACAAGGTTCATTTCCTACATGACACCACTCTGTCAAGACTGAGAGAAGTGGTTGTTCTAATGCACAGAAACCAACACAGTGCCAAAGAAGACGAAAAAACAGAAGAATATGTTTCAAACCAAAGAACAAGATAAATCTACAGGAACAGATCTTAATGAAACAGAAATAACTAGATTTACTTAATACAGAGTTCAAAATAATGATCATAAGATGCTCACTAAGGCCAGGAGAGAAATGCATGAACAAAGCGAGATTTACAACAGAAATAGAAAATATTAAAAAGTGCCTAAAAGAAAACACAGAGCAGAATACAGTAACTGAATTTAAAAATTCAATAGAGTGGTTCATCAACAGACTAGATCAAGTAGAATAAAGGATCAGTAAACTTGAAGACATAGCAGTGGAATTCATCCAATTATAGGCACAAAAAGAAAAAAAATAATGAAAAAGTAAATATAGTTTATGGAACTTATGGAATATAATTAAAAAGATTAATTGTATGTATGTATGTATGTATGTATGTATGTATGTATTATGGAGGTCCCAGAAGTAGAAGAGGGTGAAAAGGGGGCAGAAAGCTTAGCCCAAAAAATAATGGTTAACACCTTCCCTAACCTGGAGAAATAAACAGATATCCAGATACAGGAACCTCAGAAACTACAAAAAAATATGAATCCAAAGAAACCCACGCTGAAACACATTATAAGTAAATTACCAAAAGTTAAAGACAGGAGAGACTCTTAAAACCAGCAAGAGAAAAGCAGGTTGTTTTATACAAAGGAACCCTATAAGACTATCAGAATATTTTTTACCAGAAACTACAAGGCAGAAGGGAGTAGATGATATATTCTACCGTTTTAAAAGAAAAAGAAAAAAAAAAAAAAA